TTGTATCATGTTGATTGATTTGCGGATGTTGAACCAGCCTTGCAGCCCAGGGATAAATCCCACTTGGTCATGGTGAATAATCCTTTTAATGTATGTTGGATCCTATTGGCTAGTATTTTGGTGAGAATTTTTGCATTCATGTTCATCAAGGATATTGGTCTGTAATTGTCCTTTTAGATGGGGTCTTTGTCTGGTTTTGGGATCAAGGTAATGGTGGCCTCATAAAATGAGTTTGGAAGTTTTCCTTCCATTTCTATTTTTTGGAACAGTTTCAGGAGAATAGGTATTAATTCTTCTTTAAATGTCTGATAGAATTCCTCTGGGAAGCCATCTGGCCCTGGGCTTTTGTTTGTTGGGAGATTTTTGATGACGGCTTCAATTTCCTTAGTGGTTATACGTCTGTTCAGGTTTTCTATGTCTTCCTGGTTCAAATTTGGTAGTTGATACATCTCTAAGAATGCACCCATTTCTTCCAGGTTATCTAATTTGCTGGCATAGAGTTGCTCATAATATGTTCTTATAATTGTTTGTATTTCTTTGGTGTTGGTTGTGATCTCTCCTCTTTCATTCATGATTTTGTTGATTTGGGTCATTTCTCTTTTCTTTTTGATCAGTCTGGCCAGGGGTTTATCAATCTTGTGAATTCTTTCAAAGAACCAGCTCCTAGTTTCGTTGATCTGTTCTGCTGTTCTTTTGGTTTCTAGTTCATTGATTTCTGCTCTGATCTTTATGATTTCTCTTCTCCTGCTGGGTTTAGGCTTTATTTGCTGTTCTTTCTCCAGCTCCTTTAGGTGTAGGGTTAGGTTGTGTATTTGAGACCTTTCTTGTTTCTTGAGTAAGGCTTGTATTGCTATATACATTCCTCTCAGGACTGCCTTTGCTGTATCCCAAAGATTTTGGACAGTTGTGTTTTCATTTTCATTTGTTTCCATGAATTTTTTTAATTCTTCCTTAATTTCCTGGTTGACCCATTCATTCTTTAGTAGGATGCTGTTTAGCCTCCATGTATTTGAGTTCTTTCCGACTTTCCTCTTGTGATTGAGTTCTAGTTTCAAAGCATTGTGGTCTGAAAATATGCAGGGAATGATCCCAATCTTTTGGTACCGGTTGAGACCTGATTTGTGACCTAGGATGCGATCAATTCTGGAGAATGTTCCATGGGCACTAGAGAAGAATGTGTATTCTGTTGCTTTGGGATGGAATGTTCTGAATATGTCTGTGAAGTCCATTTGGTCCAGTGTGTCATTTAAAGTCTTTATTTCCTTGCTGATCTTTTGCTTAGATGATCTGTCCATTTTAGTCAGGGGGGTGTTAAAGTCCCTCACTATTATTGTATTGTTGTCAATGTGTTTCTTCACTTTTGTTATTAATTGCCTTATATAATTGGCTGCTCCCATGTTAGGGGCATAAATACTTAAAATTGTTAGATCTTCTTGTTGGATAGACCCTTTAAGTAGGATATAGTGTCCTTCCTCATCTCTTATTACAGTCTTTGTTTTAAAATCTAATTTGTCTGATATAAGGATCGCCACCCCAGCTTTCTTTTGGTGTCCATTAGGATGGTAAATGGTTTTCCACCCCCTCACTTTCAATCTGGGGGTGTCTTTGGGTCTAAAATGAGTCTCTTGCAGACAGCATATTGATGGGTCTTGTTTTTTAATCCAATCTGATAGCCTGTGTCTTTTGATTGGGGCATTTAGCCCATTTACATTCAGGGTAACTATTGAAAGGTATGAATTTAGTGCCATCGTATTGCCTGTAAGGTGACTGTTACTGTATATTGTCTCTGTTCCTTTCTGATCGATGCTGCTTTTAGGTTCTCTCTTTGCTTAGAGGACCCCTTTCAATATTTCTTGGAGGGCTGGTTTCGTGTTTGCAAATTCCTTTAGTTTTTGTTTGTTCTGGAAGCTCTTTATCTCTCCAATTTTCAATGAGAGCCTAGCTGGATATAGTATTCTTGGCTGCATATTTTTCTCGTTTAGTGCTCTGAAGATATCTTGCCAGTCCTTTCTGGCCTGCCAGGTCTCTGTGGATAGGTCTGTTGCCAATCTAATGTTTCTACCATTGTAGGTTACATATCTCTTCTCCCGAGCTGCTTTCAGGATTTTCTCTTTGTCTCTGAGACTCGTAAGTTTTACTAGTAGATGTCAGGGTGTTGACCTATTTTTATTGATTTTGAGAGGGGTTCTCGTGCCTCCTGGATTTTGTTGCCTGTTTCCTTCCTCACATTAGGGAAGTTCTCTGCTATAATTTGCTCCAATATACCTTCTGCCCCTCTCTCTCTCTCTTCTTCTTCTAGGATCCCAATTATTCTAATGTTGTTTCGTCTTATCGTGTCACTTATCTCTTGAATTCTGCCCTCGTGATCCTGTAGTTGTTTCTCTCTCTTTTTCTCAGCCTCTTTATTTTCCATCATTTGGTCTTCTATATCGCTGATTCTCTCTTCTGCCTCATTTATCCTAGCAGTTAGTGCCCCCATTTTGGATTGCACCTCATCAATAGCCTTTTTGATTTCGACTTGGGTAGATTTTGGTTCTTTTATTTCTCCAGAAAGGGTTTCTCTAATAACTTCCACGCTTTTTTCAAGCCCAGCTAGTATCTTTAAAGTCATGATTCTGAACTCTAGGTCCGACATCCTACTAATGTCCGTATTGAGTAGCTCCCTGGCTGACGGTACTACCTCTTGTTCTTTTTGCTGAGGTGATTTCTTTCGTCTTGTCATTTTGTCCAGAGGAGAACAGATGAATGAGAGAACAAAATGCTAACAGGTTTACAACGTCCCCAGCAAATATACTGTATACAAATCAGAAAAGACCTGAAACCAGGGGAAAAGAAAGGGAAAGAAAGAAAAAAGAAAGAAAAAAAAAAAGATAACAAAAACAGAACAATACAAAAAAAGCAGAATGTGATCAAATATGATCAGGCTAGTGCATAGATCAGTGCCACACACTAGATTTTGGGTGTATTTTGGTCTGTTAGAAAAAAGTGCCTCCTAAAATTTTAAAGGAAGAATGAGATATATGTACAAAGTAAGGGTTGATACAATGAAGGGATGGAAGATGACTGTAAAGATGAAAATTATAAAAGATTTTATAAAAGGAATTGATACGATAAGAAGTTTGAAAAAAGAAAGAAGATTTAAAAAAAGGAGAGAATGTGATCAGGCAGGAGACTAGAACAAAGTCATACACTAGTGATTTAGGGTATATTTTGATCTGTTAGAAGAAACTGTATCTCAGAATTTTAAAGCGAGAACAACTTATATATATATGCCAAAAATAAGGGTAACTACTATGAAGGGATAAAATATGACTCTAAAAATGAAAAAAAAAAAATTTTTTTTTTTTAAAGGGATTGATAAGATGTTGGTTGAAAAAGGGAAAAAGAAAATAAAAAAAAAACAGTTAATAAAAATTAACTTTGATGAACTAATGAATCATGGTAAAAAAAGCCATGAATTCTATGTGCAGTATTCCCCTGGCGCTGGAGTTCTCCCGTTCCCCTTGATCGGTAAACTTGGTCTTGGCTTGCTGGCTGTTCGTGATCTTCTGGGGGAGGGGCCTGTTGCCGTGGTTCCCAAATGTCTTTGCTGGAGGCGGAATTGCCCCGCCCTTGTCGGTCTGGGCTACGCAAGCTGCTCGGGTTTACTCTCAGGAGCTTTTGTTCCCTGCAAGCTCTCGGTACAGCTTTGGAGGACCAGGGCGAAAATGGTGGCCTCCCAGTCTCCACCCGGAGGAGCTGAGAACTCGGGGCCCCGCTCCTCAGTGCGCCCCCAGAGAAAAGCAGTCACTCCCGTCTCCCTGGTCTCTGGCCGCACTCCGTGCTCACCCGGCCTGTGACCGAGCATTTCTATCTCTGGCACCCGACCCCGTGTGGAGTCTCCAAACCCAGGAGATCCCCGCGGTGCGCTCCCGCACTGCTCCTCCCGGGGGAGGAAGGGGAGTCTCCCCGGCTCTGCTGCTTGTTGGGTCCCTGCTGGAGGAGCAGTGGCCCGACTGGGCCGCGGATCACAGTTTATGGCAACCCCGAGCTGAGAGCCCGCGCCTCCCCCGCTCCGATACCTGGGAGCTCTGCCGCACTCAGGCAACCCCGGTCTTTCTGTGACCCCGAGGGTCCTGAGACCACACTGTCCTGGGAGGATTCCACCCCCCCCCCCCCCCCCCCCCACCCCGCTCAGCCACTGCAGCGACGTCCCTCAGCGGAGCCGACTTCTAAAAGTTCCGATTTTGTGCTCCGCGGCTCTATCACTTGCCAGAAGCGGCCGACGGAGGCCCCCTCCCCCGCCGTCTATCCTTCTGAATATCGCCTCGGATTCACTTCTCCGCGCGTCCTACCTTCCAGGATGTGGTCGCTTCTCTGTGCAGAGAGTTGTTGCTACTCTCCTCTTCGATCTCCTGTTGAGTTTGTAGGTGTTCAGAATGGTTTGATCCCTATTCAGCTGAATTCCTGAGACCAGACGAAATCTAGGTCTCCTCCTCCGCCGTCTTGCCTGTTGTGAGCAGTCTTATACCTGCCCTTTGGTAAACGTATATGTCCATTGGATTGGGTCACAGGGTATGTATATGTTTGGCTTTAGCAGAGATTGTCACTTTCCCAAAGAGATTGCATCACCAGCAGTGTATTAAAGTTCTAGTTGCTCCACATTCTCAGATACTTGGTGTTTTCTTTTTTATTTGACATTCTGGTGGATATGTAGTAGTATCTCATTGTGGTTTTAATTTCTGCTTTCCTGATGACTAATGATGTGGGGCCAGTTTACTTCCTAAAATAGTAATTTCCTTTTAATAAGGAAACATTGGCTTGATTGGGGTTCCCTAGCTGATGTCACTTAAACAATCTTTTTGGTTTCTATCTTATCACTTACTGTTTATGTGTGTAATACTTCTGGGGGGCGGTCTGTTGTTATTACTCCCTGTTGGTTTCAAGTGCTAATTGGGGTTTTGTTGTAAACATTGAGTCGGGTGGCTTTGTGTTGATACTGACTTTTATTTTGATTTCAGCGACCCAGCCCAATCCAGCTTTATTCCCCTCCTTTTATACTGGCCCCAATCAAAGACAAGCAGACGGAGCTGGGAGAGACATTTGGGGAGGCGAGCCAGAAATACAACGTGCTCTTTGTGGGCTACTGTCTGTCTCATGACCAGCGCTGGCTTTTGGCTTCCTGCACTGACCTCCATGGGGAATTATTAGAAACTTGTATTGTAAATATTGCTTTACCAAACAGGTGAGGAGCCTTGGTGTTTATGCCGCATATAAATTGATGCTGTGCCTTTCCTCAGATAATGAGTCATTCTGATTTTCCTGTCTAAATGCAGTGGGTGCTGTTTGGGTGGGCTTTTTGGAATTTTCTGGGTTTTGTCTTGTTAAGTGATAACTTTGACTCATTTGGGGCCCCTTCCTCACTTCTTTCCTTTTTAGATCACGGAGGAGTAAAGTGTCTGCACGTAAAATTGGACTACAGAAGTTATGGGAGTGGTGCATAGGTATTGTCCAAATGACATCTCTACCCTGGAGAGTTGTAATTGGCCGACTTGGGCGGCTTGGCCATGGGGAGCTTAAAGGTGAGAGATTCCTGAAGCAATCAGTACAGGAAACAAAGGAAAAGGGTTAAGCTAATGTCCCTAACTGAGCTGAGGGAGAAAATTATAAAGTTGGTAGTAAGAATAAAGCAGATTTATATTTTCTGATTCTTTTAAATGTAGTTTTAAGTGCAGTTTTTAAACTTCTCATTATCAACAAAACTGTTTACCAAAGAAAATCTTTAAATACTGAACCCCAGTATATAAGACAGGAAAAAGAATGTTTTATTAATATAAAAGTGATAGTAAATTAGAACTTCTAACGTTTATTTATGTACTGAGTCAGTGAGATCAAGTCAGTTTTAACACGAAAATTCAAATGAGAAATTATGGATGATAGTAGAAGTCATATATAAGAATGGACTTCTGTTTCTTTATTTTTGGTGATTGATGGTGATATAGTTTGTATTTATTTTGTGTTTGTGTGTTGGTGGCACAAGGGCACAAGGGCAAGATAATCCTGATTTACAAGGACAAGTAGTTGTAAATTGGAACAGTCTTTATTCACATTGCCACTGTCTGATAGACTTCAGTCTGGACTCTTAAGAGAGCAGACTTTTTAAATTGAATCCCCAAATCTACCTACCAACTGCTAGTATTTCCCGTCATAAATTTAACAGTCACAAAGCACTAAAAGTAATGAACAGCACAGCTGACCACTGGCAGCAGTGTTGCCTGGCTTTGAGCCAAGCTCGTTTGCTATCTTACTATAGCTACTTTACATGAGCAGTATGAATAGTTCTAGATTATTTTTTTAAAGCCTTATTAATCAATGACACATTTATAAAAAGTTCAGTATATACGTATAGATTGGAGGTTTTGTTTGTTTGTTTGTTTTCCTCAGGTCTACACAAAAGCAAAAAGCATATGCCACAAATTAGCTTGGTGGTTTTGTGCATTCAAGTATATTAGAGCAGAGTCAGCAAACTTTCTATGTAAAGGGCCGGGTAATACATATTTTCAACTTTGTGGTCCATCTTGTCACTGTTGCAGCCTCTCAACTCTGCCATTGTAAAGTCAAAGCAACCACAGACAACACCTAAGTGAATGCATTTGGCTCTGTTCCAATAAAACTTTATTTACAAACACAAGTGGTGAGCAGGATTTGGCCTGCAGACCATAGTTTGTGGAACCCTTGCGTTAGAGTGCATGTATTGTTTCTTTGCATGAAACTTATATCAGGTATTTGTGGAACCTCTGAAATAAAACTCCTGATACAGATACAACATACATTGTAGCAAGTGCTCGAGTAAGTTAACATATATTATGTTATGTAAGTATTAAATATAAGTGTTTTCTTAGGAATCTATTGTGTGCAAAAAATTTTTTTACTATTTAAATAGAAAATATTAACCTTTTCATTTATAAGTATGATATTCTTTAAAAATGAGTCTTGTATTGGTGGCCTGGAGGTCTGATGCACTGGGGGATTCATCATTTCATTTCTGCCAGAATCCCTATCCCATCTCTTGGTATGCCTTATAGTCACTCTTATCTCTTAAAGGTTTTGAGCTGCTTTTAACCCTTGGGAAAAGTTAGAATATAATAGAAAAGAAGAGAGGATAAAAATGTAGCCTACTAGTCTAGTCACTTGCTGTTTCGGACCGTTATTAAGGCCATTGCCTTCCCGTGTGTGTGTGTGTGTGTGTGTGTGTGTGTGTGTGTGTGTGTTTTATTTTTTAGCAGGGGCACACTCTTCTTATCTCTTAGGGGAATGGAATATAAGTGTGACTGATCCCATCAGAAGGTTGAGAGACAATGTCCTTTCAAGGGACAGAGACACCGAGAAGAGCCTAGTGTACAGGAGATCAGTTTACTGATCTCCATTTCATTCCTTTGGAGACTTGAGGTCTGCGCCACGCTGCTTTTCTGTGGGACAGTATCATATGTGAGCCTACAGATTTCAGAGTCGACTGTGTGTTTGTTTTTTATTACCAGAGTATTTGTGATAAAATACAGATACTGCTTTTCCTTTTTAGGTGGTTTTAAATACAAAACTCATGCCTGTTTGATTTTTCTATGACTTTTAAAAATACATTCTTCATGTCTTTTATTTCACTTTTAAGTTCAGCCATTTCAGTTTAAGGTTCTTTAGGAATATGAAATAAGAAACAATTGTTCCTTTCACCTCTTTAAGGGGAGAACAGTATGTTTGAAAAAACTATGTGGAAATGGAAACCTGTAGCGGAGTGGCCTTTCCTCGGGGACGGTGGGGTGGGACACGGGTAGCGCGTGCTGCTGCAGGAGCATGGCACGCTCCGTGTGCGCTGGAGGTCACAGAGAAGACGGAGTCCTTCTCCACTGCCAGAGTCACGTAACCCTCTATAGTTCTCTGAGGACACACAGTGCCTTTATGTGGAGGCAGTAAACAAATATCAGAAAATGTGTGCCAGCGTTTTAATCTGGAACAATTAGTGTGACATCATCTGGAGCATTTCACTCACACCCATTGTTTATCAGCTCTCTTGGGCCTTCTAAGAAGGGTTCCCCTTATTTCTGTACTGCCTTTCATGGAAACAACCAACCTACAACAGTAAATAGAACTGAGGTTTGCCTCCAACTGTGCATTCTTCTAAAGAAAAGTGCTGATGGGGGTGGGGGGTGGAGGGGCAGTGAAAGAACCAGACCTGGAGAAAGAGGAGGAGAAGAAAGGATAGAACAGATTGGCCTCATCATCAAAAGCATTTGAAGCACCTAAATCTGTGTGGGTCTGTGCTGGACTCTCCCAGCTCATTTCAGACATGATTTCAGTTGACAGAATAGTAGGCCTTTGTTTCTTTGTTAATGAAGTGTAAGAGAGGTCAAGTAACATTTTCTTTGTAGCAAGAAGGGGAACCTGTGTAAAGCCTTATTCCCTTTAGGGCCAATCCTGGAAATTCAATTACCAGGCAAATCTGGTAAAATGCTTAAACCTCCTATCAGTATGAATTTCTAAAGACTGTGTATGACTGTGATATTTGATTTCAGATTGGAGTATCCTCCTTGGAGAATGTTCACTACAGACAATCAGCAAACGGCTCAAGGACGTGTGCCGGATGTGTGGAATCTCTGCCGCAGACTCTCCTTCAATCCTTAGTGCCTGCCTGGTTGCCATGGAGCCCCAGGGGTCCTTCGTAGTGATGCCAGGTAAATCTCTTCTTGTCAGTTTCATTAATGAGCTGTCACGTCCGTTCAACTCACTCAAACTTAAGTCTACAGACAAGTGTAGAATAGATCTTCATTACGTTTGTGAGAGAGGATTGTACTTAGGGTTCAAAAATGGAAATTTGGTCTCTTCCAAGGGGAGGGGTTATGTGATTTTGTTATCTTTGTTGACCATCATTTGGAAGAGAGCCTAAGACTGAGAGCTTTTAGGGTCATGGCCAGTTACTGTGACCCCGATTGTTGTTAGTGTATGAGGATCGCCCTCCAGAAGCCCCTAAAGGGGCCACTACTGTTGTAATATGTATTTGAATATCCTTTCGAGGACAGATATTTGACAATCTCTAAGCAGCCTCGAGAGGATATTTGAGTCTTTCTGATGTGGTTGAAGGTGAATGGTGAGACAAATAGAGAGGTGAAGTAGTCAGTGCAGTGTCCGGCCTGGGGTACGCACTCAGTAAATGGGAGCGCTAGTGCGTGGATAGCAAGATTGTGGCCACAGAATTTTTTAAACATTAGCAACTAAGCTATTTTGTAATTTTATAATTAAGCCATTTTCTAATTTTCTACCTTTTTTAGCCTGCTTTTATCCTTCAGCTATGTCTCTGATCAAATGGGACATCCTATCCACTGACTTCCTATGAAAATCAGTAGTGATGTGTGAGAATGAGCTTGTTCACCGTCAGCCCAGTGAGGGGCAGATGTCCGGTGCTGGCCTCATTAGACCCTAGGTTAATTGTTGCCTGCACCATTTGGACATACCTCATAACTTCTTTGTTATCTGTCCTCTTCATGGTGTGGGGATAATCGTTGTACCTCGAGGTAGCTGTAGGTGACTGAATAAGATGCTGTCAGTGAATACAGAGTTTAGCACAGAATCTGGCAGGTAGTAAGCACTCAATGCTAGTTATCATAGCTACTAGTTGAATGATACCATTTCTACAGAATTGTATCATTTAGGATAGTCCTTTATAAATTGTGAGCAACCACAGGAAGGAAGTGGGAGATTTATTTTTAGAAATGGTTCTTATATAAGTAATTAAAACATATTTGGTGGGCACAGTCCAGTTTTATCTTAATCTTTCCCATATGACATGAGGCTTGGGTTTTCATAGCTGTATGCTCTGAGTCTTGTTTTTTTTGAAGATAAACAGTTAGGTGGAACTTTAAATGTGTATCCATATGAGCAGTTGTGTCACACACTTGTCTGTCCAGCTCAGGTCCTCCTAGAACTTCATTTCTGGAGTTGTTTACTGATGCACAGAAGGGAACTGATAAAGTTTTTTCTTTTTCTTTCTTTTTTAAGATGCCGTCACAATGGGTTCCGTTTTTGGCCGAAGTACCGCTCTAAACATGCAGTCATCTCAGCTGAACACCCCTCAAGATGCTTCCTGTACACACATCTTGGTGTTCCCAACATCGTCAACCATCCAGGTGGCTCCAGCCAACTATCCCAATGAAGATGGGTTTAGCCCCAACAATGGTGAGTGTGGAAAGCCATGTAAGGATAGAACTCAAATTCTCCAGCAAGACGCAGAGCTGAAGTATTGGAGTCAGTGGGCTGCTGCATGTGTTAGAATAAACAACATACAAAATATGAAGAGGGGATTGAAGGTTGGAGAATCTGTTTGGTTTTGAAGGTTCATGGACACTATTACCAAGACCAAATAAGTATTTTCCTCTCTTGTGTAATTACTTTTCTACTGTTTTTCCCCACAGGCAAAAATATATCTGGTTGGTAGTGTCCGGCACATGGGGGCCGCTCTTTTAGTAAACAGTTGCTGATCTGATTTGAAATGTATGCAGATTCCCAGGCAGTGTGAACTCGCTCCTGTCTTTAGCTGATCATTGGGAATCTAATTTGCTTCAAAACAACTCCTCATTTGATTATTCTTAATAAATTTTTTTGGTTTGGTTATCTCTTAAGGCATTTGTTAAGTAGTGATGACTTATAAACTAAAATGCCCAGTATTATGTAGCCATTTGCATTGTTTTTTGAAGATTTTTTAATAACTACCCGCATTTACTCCTGTTAGAGGGGGAGGGTAAAAGGATACTAAATTTTATAGATAGTGTGATCAAAGTGGAGTTACGATACGAGAAAAAGAGTTGTAGCAAAAATGTTCACAGTACTTGTATTCTGGGTGATAGTGTTCCCTTTTTATTCTTTTATTTCCAAATTTTCTGCTGTGTGTGTACCTTACTTTTATAATGTGGGAGAAGATTTCTTAATGAAAACATCATGCTTTGATCTGCTTTTGGAATAGGCCTCCAGTTTCAGGGCAAGTTCACACCTATTAACATGTATTAATTCAGCCTCCAGGATTTTAGATGCTAATTGGATGCATAGATGGAGTCTGCTGTTTTCTAGGATGGTGTCAGTTTTAACTTTGTTTAATAATTAAATTGCTTCTTTAGCTGTTCCGCCATCTTTTTATGTGCCTTCTTCGGAAGCTCTACAGAGTGTGGAGTTCTGTTTTATGTCTGTTAATACTTCACATTAGAAGATCACTGAAGAGAACACAAAATGCAAAAACAGTTTTCAGTGCCTTGTACCCAGTATGCACACGTTAATAAATCTTACTAAGTTGCTAACAGCATGTGCTTATAACAGTCATGGGCCAACAAAACAGAATATTGTTTAAGTTGTGGATATGGATTATTTTTTAAATTTTTGTGCATTTTCTCCCTTCTTTCTAGATGACATGTTTGTTGACCTTCCATTCCCAGATGATATGGACAATGACATTGGCATATTAATGACTGGGAACCTCCATTCCTCTCCCAACTCCTCCCCAGTTCCTTCCCCAGGCTCTCCTTCTGGAATTGGTGTGGGCTCTCACTTCCAGCACAGTCGGGTAAGGATGATTTCAAGTATGTTGTTAAAACAACCTTGGCCTTCAGGGAAAATAATCCTCTGGAAAGGTGATTGCCTCTTTACTTCATGCACCGTTCTTCTTAATGGTCGTCTTGGTCCCTGGTACCAGAGAAATCAGTGTGGAAAAGTGACTCTGTAGTTGTTCTGTTTTGATTGAAGGCACGAATTAGAAAGAAGTGGATTATTATTCCTGAAAATGTTCCTGATGAATATGTTTTTTATCAGAAGAATAGTCCTATTGTAGCAGGAAGCCTTTTTTGCAATGACTGTTTTCTCCGCAAAATTTAGTTTTGGTTGCTATCTCCTTCCTGGTTATTTATTTTTTATTTTTTTTGCCAAAATAGTGGCTTTTCAGAGGCTAGTTCGACAGCTCTACTTACTTAACATGTAAAGTGACTGTCTTAATTGAAGAACACATTGTTGATGGTTGATTATTCTGAAATGAGCTTTACTCTTCCTGTTTCTTGTCATGGTGCCTTGATTTATATATAGTTCCAGTCTTTTCTGTAGCCAGGTTTTGAAATGGCAAGGGCCCACGAAAGGTTGATTTTGGAGAAGTGTCCAGGTTGATGACCCAGTATTAAGGAGACACATCAGAGCTGATAACTAGTTTCATCTTTAAATATCCCAAAGATATTGGAGGTAGATTAACAGGATTGAAGAGTTAAAGGTTTTGCTGTAGCCTGTATTAACTTTGTTTAAAAGCTAGATGATTCATGCCTTACCACTCTTTTGTACCTTTTATTTAAAATATTGCGAGATTGAGCTTTAAGACATAGAAAAATGGCTCCGTCTACTATGTTAAACTGGGCAAGCATAAACAACTCTGCTCACTCTCATTTAAAGACAGAGCTGTAGTAAGAGGACTTAGGTTTCTGTCCTTGGGACTCTTCGTTGCCAGCCTGGAGTTCATTGAGGGCCAGGCAGGAGAAGGAAGATTTAAAATGTTAGTCACAGAGCAGATAAAACCAGGGAAGAGCTACTCGGTAGATTTACCCTCATGTAACTGCCTGTCCCCCAGTCCTCCTTTCTAGAAGGAAGAGCTCGTTAAGTGTCTTTATTTCCTCCATAATCATTTGCCAGTTAATGACAGTTTATTGCTTCTTTGGAGATTGTTGTGATAGGAACCAAGATCACAGATTTTACGTTAGGTAGTTGATGTTTTAATTTAGGATTAAAGTGAATTCTAGAGGCAAATAGCATAGCAACTAAGAACGCATGCCCCGGAGTTTGATAGATGTAGTTCAGAGTTAACAGCTGCACGGCTTCTAGCTTGGTGACCTTGACCAAGCTTGCTTGATCTTTCTCAGCCTCACTTACCTTATCTGTGAAATGGAAATAATAGCAACCACCTTTCAGTGCCCATGGTTGCACTTTAGCTTATCCAGGAACAAAGAATTGGTCTTTGAAGGGTCATGTGAGTTTTGTAAGAAACAGAGCTTTGCTGTACTTTCTGCCTTTCTTGGAGCCTCAAGCCCTGAAGTCTGAGATTGAATGTCATAGTTTAAATAGCACTGTTCTGAACACCTACAGCCAGGTGACCCCTGAGAGGCTTTCAGTAGTTCCTCTTTCTGAAGTATTAAAGATTCTTTGATATCCAGTTAAGGCATTACAACAGGGGAAAGAACTTGTTCAGGGTGGCAGTAAGTTTTTATTTTTTAACCAGCTCAGAATTAGTACAACTTGATGTGATAGTTGAGGATTCATTTTTTCCTCCAAACAGAAGGCCTTTGAAAACACATGATGACTTCTTATTGCTTGAATAAAAGGTACATTTTCAGCTCTTGGAGCCAGCTAAAAGAACCAAAGATGAGAAAAGTATCAATTGCCAAAACACACAGTAAGGCTCTCACAGGGATCTCGTATTAAGGAGTTTGCTGAAAATTAAAACAAGGCCCCTTCATGAGCAGATCTTACACTGCTGGGACGTCAGGGACACTGTTGTCACACAAAGGAGTGGTGCAGTATTACGTTTTCCTAACATCCGTGTTGTTGACAGTAGATGGTCAGGTGCGCTCGTGTATTTTGGTTGATGGCTGGTGAAAGAGCACCTAGGTGTGGGGGTGCCTTCAGCTGCCAGAGGCCATTCTTTCCACCTTTAGTTTGACACCTAATGCCTCAGAACACATCTTACATTTAACAGGAAAAGCCCAGAGCAAAAAAATCTGTATTTGCTGGACGGATGGAGTTAGTTTTGCTGGTACCTTCTGCCTGGGCCATATTTCTCATCAGATGTCTGTGCATGCAGCAAAGTTCCCCCTGTTAACCTTTCTCAGTCATCTGGCATTTTTGTGCGAAAAGCTGCCAGAACGGGGTCCACAGTGTGCACAGTGACTTGGTAAAGAGTTGATGTGCAAAGCTTTATTTGAAGTGATAAGCGCTGATCATGCTCTTGGAACTTTGTTTTTCAGAGTCAGGGTGAGCGTCTTCTCTCTAGAGAGGCACCTGAGGAGCTGAAGCAGCAGCCTCTGGCCCTCGGGTATTTTGTGTCAACTGCCAAAGCGGAGAATCTCCCCCAGTGGTTTTGGTCATCGTGTCCCCAGGCTCAGAATCAGTGCCCCCTCTTCCTAAAGGTTGGTTTGGTGTCATATTTGAAGTTTGGGGGAGGAGGGACTTATGCTTAAATTCAGGTGTGGTTAGAAACTTGTGTCTCAGTCACCATGTCTTACTGTGTTCCCTGTTTCTTTCACATCTTCATATACTCTGAGGGTATTTTAATTACAGTTGGGGTGGGTGGGGAGTAGAACGCAGGAGAGGAACCCAAAACCGTGACACAAAGGAAGCAATCAAGCACATTAACCCAAGGTGGAGACTTTGTGGGGCCCACAGGCTACGTGTCGGGTGGACACGTGGTTGTGTGTCAGTCCACGCTGCATTGCCATTGGTGAAGGTAAGCTGGGGCAGAGGTGATCGGAATTGGCTGATCTCTTCCTCCCCTGCCATAGGCTTCAGCTTTCTTCGTTAGAGTAGGGCAGGAGGCAGCTAAATTTACATTGGCACGTGCTCCTTCCTGTGTAGGTCTTGGAACCCTTTCATCCAACTTAAGGGTTAAAACAAAAGATCGCCCACTTCCGGTTTGGATGAAAGAACCAGGAATGAAATCCATGTCTCACCCACAGATTGGCAAGAAGCCAGAAGTTTGACAACATGCTCTGTTGGCAGGGCTGTGGGGACATGGCCCTGGCGCCAGTAGGAGAGCCAGGTGACACAACCCCACACGCTTCCCTTTTGGTGCAGCAATTCCACCTCTGGAAGTCTGTTCAGAAGAAGCTGGCAACACCAAAAAATGAAAAATGTAAAAGATTGGAAACACACAAACTGTCCACCAGTAAGGGACTGGTTGAATAAACTAGTACCTCCGTTCAGTGGAGTGTTAGTTATCCACAACAAAGTCAGGATTGTTGTCATATAATCCTTCTGTGGAGTGTAGATTACCTTGTAGTAATTGTGATGAGATGCGTGCATGCACACACCTGCTTGTGTTTTCAAAAAGAAACAATGGGAGGTTAAACCAAAAACAGTTGAAGCCATTTTCTTTAATGGCTATGACATATGATGATGAAACCAGGAAGTTATATAAAAATCCATGTCATCTTTATTTCAAATTAGAGTTGTCAGGATGAACGCAGATTTGTTTTTTCCCCCTTAAGAAAGGTGTGCACATTCTTTAGCTCAGTCTACAGCTCTCTTGCCACAGCTCTGGTTCTGAAAGCCATTTACCGTTTGAAAGAACCAGAGAGTTCCTTTGAAGAAATGACTGATTGTAGGTCTGAAGTAAGAGATATTCAAGATGAACCTATGATATGTTGTCACATCGGAGAGCAGGGAAGTTGCGTAAGATAATTGAGTTACTTCAAAGGACCCAGGAGCCTACTGGAGGGTTCCCATTGCCCAGTGATGAGACAGTTTGAACATAAAAAAGAACGGTGGTAGCAGGAGACTAAAACAAATACATGGGTTCTTAACTGTGCTGAAAACCAGAACATTTTCTCAGTCACCTTTTGAAGCTACTAGAGCAACAATTCATTAATTTGAAAACTAAAAAATAGAGAAGCATATGTATTAACTCTCCTTCACATACTATATTTCTCAGTTATTGAATAAAGTAAACTATGCTAAAGCCATTAGGTGAAAAATTGGTGGGGAACTTTATAATGAATGGAGCATGCTGGTTAACTCTTAAATCCAGTGGGGCAGCAGACACTAGCTGCCTTCTGATGTGATGCAGTAAGAAGGACGTAGCACCAGTTACGAAGTATTCTTGCACCCTCTTTCCCTCGCTCCCCAGAAAGAGTCTGAACCTAATTGAGTCTCTAGATCTAGCAACTTACGGGAAGTCAGGATAGAAGAACAGGTTAAACCACCACCACAAGGGGACAGTCAGCCGTATCCAGACCCTGGGGCCTTCTAGAGATTAAGACCTGAAGAGGCACGTTATCGAATCATTTGCAGTGCATTTGTATTTGCTGCCAAGCTAGCCTTTTTCCAACTCTAGGATATGGAGTTATTTGGGATCACATTGGGGTTACTGTGAGCTTAAAATTCAGGCTTCTAGAAGCTGTGACTTATTCTAAGGACTCCAGGGGGCATCTGTAGCAGACGTGGGTCTGCCTTTTTTTCCTGCCCAGGAAGGTAACTGTCTTTGTTCTTTTGCCAGGCTTCGCTGCATCACCACATTTCTGTAGCACAGACGGACGAACTTCTCCCTGCCAGGAATTCTCAGCGGGTTCCACATCCTCTTGACTCCAAAACCACATCTGATGTTTTAAGGTAGATACAGACGTAGGCAACATAGCTGTACGGTTTGAAATAATCTTCCTTCAGTTTTGTTTTTCCAAGGTGTTTAATTAAAATGTGGAAAGGGTGCTACTTTCTGTGCAGGGGAGCACTGTCTGATTAGCCAGTGAGAGCGGCAGCCCCCCCGTCTGAGCACCAGACAGGGAGAATAGTGTACCTTGTTAAATTAGGTATGTGCGAGTACAGTTGCCTTTGCTTCCTATTTAAAGGAGGCATTTTATGGTGATGAAAATCGATCAGAATTACGGGGTGGGTGGTTAGAAGACAGAGTCTGGAACCTAAAGCACTTGGCTTTGAGAGCATCTTTTTTACTCCCCCTGACATAGATTATATAAATAAAATTAACCAGAACATAAATTCCGTAGTTGGGAAATCTCTCCGAGAAGTGTGCACTAATTCTCTTGCACTTTAGCAGGCCATAAACATTCTTCATGTACCTTGAGGAAGTAGGCAAGCTTTTTCTAATGTTTGGTAGCTCTTAAATGATTTGGAAATTATAGTTAGGCAAGAACCCAATCAACATGATTTTGGCTTTCAGGGTCCCTAGTTCAGCACTGTCCAAGAGAAATATAATGGAAGCCACATATCTAATTAAATTTTTTTAGTAGCAATATAAAATAGTGAAATAAATTGGTGAAGTTAATTTTAATATTAACAGTTGTATCAAAAATATATCAGAATAATATCAAGTATATGAAAAACAGTATCATTTCAATAGTTAATATAAAAATATCCATGAGCTATTTCACAAGCTTTTTTTTTTTTAAACTATGAATTCCTTGAACCCCGGTGCCTGTTTCATACAGACAGCACATGGGACTCCACTTGTGGCCAGTAGTGCTGGGCTAGGTGAAGTGGGTGCATGGGAAAAAGTACCGCAGGGAGACATGGGACAAGGGCAAGAATGACCCAGGGCGCCCCCCCCGCTGACATCTGGAATGTTCAGATGTAGTGTCAACCTCCCCTGTGCCTCGCCTTGTGCCCCTGACTTGTGTCTTCTCTCTGGCAGGTTTGTTTTGGAGCAGTACAACGCTCTGTCCTGGCTCACGTGCAATCCGGCCACCCAGGACCGTACCTCCTGCCTTCCCGTCCACTTTGTGGTGCTCACTCAGTTGTACAATGCCATCATGAATATACTTTAATTGGAAAAGCACTTGTTCTCTCTGGCTCAGTTCCTCCTCCCTGCAACCTCAGTCCAAGGAACCTGCTACACTCTGCAAATGCCCCACATCCTCTTGAGACCACTCTCCACAGTCCTGCACTGTGATTACTCCTCAGCAGGCACATGTCATTTCTGCAGTGTTCATTACCAGAGGGATTCACTGACACTTCTCTCATGGACCTGGAAACTTCCAATAAGCAGTGACTTTTAGCCAGTGTTACGGTGTGTGCAGCCCCAAACCACTGGTCCACAGGAAGTTTTTTATTGTTGGTTTTTAAGAGGGAAACAGAAGAGACAGTATCCTTTTGCACAAGAGTCTGTGTTTCCAGTCTCTGTTTAAAAACAAGGGCAGTTTAGCCCTTTTGGATGAAATCCTCTAGTTATTGGTGTATGGCCTGTGGGTTACCTGAACTCCATAATCTGGGACTTTTTAAAAATAAGAACCAGCTCAAGTATATGACTTCTTAACGGGGTTTCTGTCTCCCTAGTGCTCCCATCTAGATTGGCATGAATGCTTTGGTTGACTTCATACCTGTGTGTAGATAGAAAAGGTCTGGAGACATCTTCATTTTGTTTATTTATTTTAAGTTGTTTTGTCATTTTTTTTGTGACTTTCTTTTGATTTTTTTTTTTTTTTTTTTTAAATTCATGAGGACCAGGTACAGTAGCTGAAACCCAACTCAGATCTACCATAGGATTCTTTGACTACATACCTCTGTCCTAGAAGCTGGAAAAGGAGTGAAAAGAGATTGGGGAGATATGCCTAAAAAGTAATATATTCAAAACCACCCAGCAGTAGGCTTTATTATTAAGAACAAACTGGGTAAACATTCTGCCATGTTTCTTATTAAAAGTGGCCAGCGTTTCATGAAGGATAACATTTTTATACAGAAGGCAGGCAGTCAAGCTCAACCCAGAGCCATGGAGGCAAGTACCTTCATTAGTTTTATATAGTCACAATGGAAATATATTTTCTAGTGAATTCTTATTGAAAGCCAGGTCTCTCCTCTCATTAGATCAAAAGGGACTCATGTACATATCATAATTGAAAGTGTTTGCTCATAAAATCAGTTATAAATATGGTGACTTTTTTCTGGACCATAGGAATATTATTTCAAAGAAATATTACAACTTAACCATTAAATTAGTACTTGAAGTTGAGCCTTTGTGGTGGGACTTTTTTAAAAAAAAAAATAATGCCTTTTTAAAGCATTAATGGCTAATTGAAGTATTTTATGACTCCTCATTTCAGGCCCAAGAGGGTTGTCTTTAAGACCCCGTTTCTGACCCTGACATCACAGCACGTTTCTGTCTGAGGGCAGTGGGCGTGGGCTTGCCTCCCGCAAGCCGCTCTGGTCAGACTGTTGAGCTCTAGTCATCTGTGGAGAGAATCATGCAAATTTTAAAGTTCTTCCAAGAGACTTCCATATCCTGGTTATTAACAAAAAAACAAAAAAAAAAAAAAGGAAAAATGTAATAACTGATATGATTTTGTAAAAGTATTTTTCTTGAAATAATCTAACGTTTAAAACATTATATTAAAAAAAAGTTGTGTGGTGGGAATATGTAAGCAGAGAAATAACTTGTAAATGGATAATTTTATTCTCTGTACCACCAATTGGGGGGGGTGACTTTCGCAATGTATAGGTTAAAAAAAAATCTGATATATCAAACCATTTGTATCTAATGTGTACAGTGTAAAATTGACTTTAAAAATATTGCAGTGCTATTTTTTCTTAATCAGAAAGGAAAAATTCTCAAGGCCTTTTGAAGAGCATAAGATGATGAAGATTGTAAACTTGTATAAAATTATCTTGGTGAGAAGACAAATTGTAAAGTAGATATTTGTAATCTTTTACCACTTTGGGGTTGCTTTTTTTCCCAGAATTCATCAGAACTTTGAATTTTTTTTTTTTTTTTTAATATGGGCTGTTTTTAATGCAGGGGCTTTTCTTCCCTAGAAACCCAATTCTAAGCAAAAAAAGAAAAAAAAACACAAAAAACAAAAAACCCCTACAAAAATTAAAAAAAAAAGCAGCAAAGGGTAGTTTTCATCTGGTGTCTTTTATTTAAGTTTTTTAAGTTAAGAAAAGCTGGTGACATATTTATACGTTTTTGTGCAAAAATAAATGAATGGCAATAGATTTTAAAAAATCTTATTATGTACTTCTGTGTGAAAAAGTCTGTATAATATTTCCCTTAAATATGCATTATTTTACTTGTGAGTTTTTTACTGAATTAATCTGAAATGTACAAGCCCTGGATTTGCTACAGAGTGAGAAGTTATTTTATTTTTTTTTTATTTTTAATTTTGGAAATTCTGCAAAAATCAGAACTCTTACCATGGTTTGAACTAAAAAGGGGAAATGGGGAGGGGAGAGGGTGGGATTGTCCAGCATGCTTGTATGTATATTTCAGAACCTTTTTTAAATGTAAAAGCTGTACATTTCTGGGAAGTTCTGAATTTCTTTTGTTTCCTTTTTTCCTTCAAGCATTTTGCAGTGAGCTTCTTTTATATATAGCAAACAATTTGAAAGAATACAAAAATATGTGAAGTTCATTTAAAACTACAGTATAGCGCTGGTACAGTACACTAAAGACTTTGATAAAAAGAAACAATACTAAAAGGCCTCCATTTTAAATGTCATTCATATATACCTTGTGAATGAGAGCTATATACTTTTACACACTTTTTTAGAGGAATAAATTATTGAATTACTGAAACTTTGAGTGGCTTTTTTCCCCCTCCCATCCTGTCTTTGTAATAAAATTATCTACACCTATTCAGAAGGTGTATGTATAATGTATTGAACATTCCTTGGCTGGGAGCCAGGCTCTGCCTTCCAGAGTAACACGGACATAGAATTTTCCTGCCGTGACTATCCCCCCCCCCGCCAAACAACAGGTGTTCTCAGATGGTGTTCCCATGCTCCAGGGTACTCGTGCATTCCTAGATTTGCACTGAGAGCCTGCACACACACAACACTGAAGTAGGAGCCCCGGTGTTTAGTTCTAGAACTGTTCTGAGTAGATCAGATCTGTGTCTCCCACAGATTGTGGTCCGTCCTAGAACAGATTGCAAGTCTGTTTTCCACTTCCTTTCTCTTCACGGTCTGGGCCAGTTTCTTTTTGATGTTCCTTAGAAACAACAGACCTGTCTTTGCTCTCTGCCCTGTTCACAGGCTGGTGACAGTAGGATGCCATTCGGCACAGCAGGTACAAGCGGGATGTTCCCCTTGGGTCCAGCCGCTAGGGAAAACCACGTGCGCTTAGGGGCAGAATCTCTTGCCAAAATGGTAAGCCCCCAGGACGTGGCAGAGCTTACAGTCACACTTTGGCTAAATCTCGAAAGACCTTGCTTTTAACCTTCCTGCATCTATTTAGGAGATATGCATTATTCTGAATTTAACATTGTCTGAACCTAGAGGTAAAGCTGTTGAAACTGCTCGGCCGGCGGTTATTTTATCTGCAAATGAAGGTCGAGCTTGAGTCTGTGAGAAATGCTTTGCAAATGGCAACACTGTTACCATGTTATTGTAATTGTACCATTGAAGAAAGCGGACAGTGAGGCCACATTTCAGTTAGAAGACCATTCCGGCCTCTGCCTCATCCCTCACCATGGCACTGTTTGTCATGCTGCTTGCCAAAAGCATTATGAACCACATAGTCCCTGGATCCATTGTAATCAGGTCAGTCCAGTGATTCCTGTGTCCCCTTAATAATCAGAACTAGAGGGTGTTTTTACCAGTGTTTCTTAGCTTAGATAACTTAGCTCATGCATCGGGTGGGACTTGACCCAATGGTTTGTGAACCTTGTTTTCATAACCACTGGCTGCACCAATTTGGCGACCGTAACTAAATCTCTTTGAGGCAGGAGAAGGTATTTGTTGAGTGCATTTAAAACATTTTGCAAATCAGGTGAAGACAGATCTGACCGGGTGCTCAGGAGCCATCAGCCTCCAGCCATTCACTTCCCTCCGTTTCTGCATAACACCAGTTCATCCCCTCCGGTGATGCCACGGCACCGTGTCCTGTTTCCGCTCTTCAGGGACGTGTGGGGCAAGGGATTTGTTTCCAACAGTTATCAAGGAGCTAAAAAAGTTTTTGTGTAAAAAGTACAGTTTGTCAATAGAAGTTTTTAAAAGCAGACTTCTCATAAGACTGAATGCTGAAGCGGGAGCTACCTACTAAAAATTGTCCTTGCCGCTTGTCGTTTACGCAACACAAGCCATGGCGTAAAGAACATTTTGGTTTTTTTTTTTTCACTTTTGAATCCACCACATGCTAAAACCCTAACAAAATGCAATTTTAATGTATCACCATGTTATCTTGGTGTTAGATGATTTGCTGGTTTACATCCCCTTGACAACAAGGTCACTTTGATAGTAATTATTTCATGCCATCAATACCTAATGAGACACCCTTAGAAAATTCTGTTGTGCCAGATCACAGTGTGGTTGTAACGATGGCCCTGGGCATCTTACTCCACTTGGAACCAGATTTACCAGTCTTCTGCTACTTCACTTGAAAATTTCCAAATTTCCAAACCAGATCAAGTTTCCAAAATGATTTTTTTGACACATCCTGCTTCTGGCTAGAACTCCAAAGTAATGAAGCAGGTAAGAAATAGAAGTTGATGAGGAAGAAAGTTTCACCTCCAGGACGGAGCTTGGGTAAGACTGAAGTACCGATTTTTCTCTGTAAAGGGTTATTTCCTCAATAAGCATTAGTTACCAGGTGATAGAAAGGCACAGACAACATGGGGGTCCGTCTCACTTTTATTTATTTATTTTTTTTAAACAAGCAGGGAAGTGAGAAAAAGCACATGCTTTGTTTTAATAATCTGCTAAAAACTGCATTTGGGCTGTTACTCCATGCTGTTCATTTATAGGTGTCAAAAGCAAGCGTGTCTGAAGAGTGCTTAACATCACCCGCTGCTCAGAACAGGCAAACGCGTACAAATGAGCAGCACTTGGTGTGTCTTGCCTGCTGCTGTCTGTTCTATGCCTTCATTGCCTTTATTGGCAGATTAGGCACGTTGCAATCTACCTGCTCCAGAAAGCCAGACAATCTTCAGGAAAATGGGCCACGCCAGAGCTAAGAGTAGAGGGCCGACACAAGGCAAAATGTGTGCTCTGGGGGAAAGTCAATTTAATTTAACGTGTAAGATAGTACTTGTCTTATTTAACTTGAGCTTGAACATCTTTCAACAAACATTTTGTCAGCTTTTCTTATTTAAATCTTTGTTCACTTAGAGGTCTTGATGTTACTAATTTATACGCATTGTTTACGTAAATAACTTCCTGTCTGCTCTCACGCTTGTGAGTTCTCATTCTAGAAGAGAGAATGATCAGATAGTCACATATACACACATACACCAGTTTTTGTTCTGTTGATCTCTCCACAAAGCTTATGGAGGTTATCTCCCTTGTCAGGTCTAAGGAGGTCAAGTGTGCCTCACAGGATGAATTTGATGACCTTCCAGTCATTTTTTATGACACAGGAATGTTGACCTTACATGACAACTCTGTTGGGCTGAGAGTAGGCACCCAGGAAACGTTAGCTGAACACAGACTTGAAAGAGTGGAATCCACCTCAAAAATCGGAAATAATTTTACAAGCAAATTCATCACATCTCGAGGCCTTTCTGGAGAGCAGAAAATATATCTTTTATATATTAGAAAAAACAGGAACTTTTTTTTTGGTGGTTGATTTAGGTTTTCTATTTCCTCTGTCAATTTTGGTAATTTGGATTTTTATAAGTGGAAAAAATTGAGTTTTCCCAATGTATTAGTATGCAATTGTGCAGAGTACTCCCTTAATTCTGAATGCGTTGTTTTTCGTCACATATGTTCCTTCTCATTTCTAACAATATTGATGCAGGGTTTCTTTCCTTGATTTGTTTTCTAGCAGTGTGCTGTTTCTTAGTTTTGTTTGATTTTTTTCCCAAAGAAACAGCTCATGGATTTAACAATTCTGCTGTTTTTATCCTGGCTTTTATCTTGCTGTTCCTTTTCCCAGTTTCCTTGAGGGTTGTTTCATTTTCCTTGAATTTTAATCGCCTGCTTAGTTAATTTATTTTCACTTTCGATGACACAGGCATTTATAGCCTGGCGGCTTCTGGATGCGGGTGGCCCTCCTCAGATGATACACAGAAGTCTTCATGTGTGTGCATTTTTCTAGGGAGAGGGTCTGTTGCATCCCATCCTCAGAGGTGTCTGACCCTGAAAGGGGTAAAATGACTGATCTGGGACTGTGTTAAAGCTGATTGCATCCTGCAGGTGTTGATGTTTAGCATTTTCATTTTTATTTTTAGACTTTTAGTTCATTTTCTTTTTTTTTTTTTAAATAAAGGAAAGTTCTCTTCGGATTTAAAGTCTCTTGGACTCTAATTTTCTCTTACTGCAATGTGATCTAGTAATGATTGGTTCTTAGAAACATTCTCTGGAACCTTCAAAACAGTATTTATTGTACCTTTACAGCACATCTAAATCTGGAAGCTAAATTTTTGATGGTTAAAGTAAAATGTGGTTCTACCGAATAATAAAGTTGCATTTAACAGAAAAAATTTTTAATTGAATTTTAATTAAAATGAGTTCAATTAAAATTCAATTAAACTTTAAAAATTAGTTCCTCAGCCATGCTTACTGCATTTCAGAGTGTTAGACACACAGGTATCCTATTGGAAGTGTGGCGCTAGGCATTAAGATTTGAAACCAATTAATGCTATCCTGGGTGTATTTTCCATTTCTTCTACGCCCCTGTCAAGACCTCAGACTCTGTTCTAGGCAGGTAGCAGGAGTTAGAATTTCCCACTGCAATTTTGGGGTGTCCTTTTTTCTTTTTACTACATTATTGGTGCATAAAGTTTTATGATGTATTTTGTAATGTAATTTATCTCTGTATCCTGACCCTTCGTAATACTTTTTGCTTTAAATTATCCTTTGATATTAATTTTGCCACTCCTGTTTCCTTTTCTTAGAATTCTGGTGTTATATCTTTGACCAACCATTTATTTTGAACCTTTGTCATTTTGTGTTAGGTGTTCTTCATACACATTGTTGCATTTTATTTCTTAACAGAATAATCATTTCATTTCAATAGGGTGATTTTTACCATTTGCATTTCCTGTTCTGTGTTACATTTTGACTTGTCAGCCAATTCTTATGAAAATACACATATTTATTTGCTTTTACTTTTTTAGTTTTGCCTTTTTTGTGTGTATGGACTCTGCCATTTTTCTCTCTCAAAACACTTTGGAAAGAAACGTTCGTCTTTTGAATTCTATCAGTGATTACCGTACAACAGTCCACAAACATTCACAATGCTCTTACTACATACGTTACCATTCAAAAAAAAAAAAAAACCCTCTTATGCACCATCCCCCCTCCCCCTTCCCCCCTCCCCCCTCCCCCCTCCCACTCTCACGGGCGTGTATGGCCCTGGAGCAGCCAGCTCCCAGGCCAGGTGGGCCAGCCCGCAAACCCATTCCTTTCTTCAGCTGGCGGGGGGCGCTTCCAGGTTCCGCTCGCATCCAGTCTCCCATCAGCTTGCCTCCGTCAGAGGGCGCACGTCCTGGCTCTGTCACAACTGGGCTGCCCATCACATTAGTGCCTCACCCACTGGTTTTTCTCCGGAAAAGCCAACCTGTGGTTTCCAGGAGCCAGTGAGCATTCAGATTCCCAGGCTAGCCCCAGGTTGTGAGCCAGTCAGTGGCAGGTCAG